GCGCGCGGCGGGTGCAAGGGGGTGGTCTTCGCCCCCCCTCCCCCCCGTACTCACACCGTTGACAGAGGTCTGCCCCGACAGTATAATCATAGAAGTCGTGCGCCCCTCAGCAGGAGAGGAAGGAGAGATGGAGTAGGAGCGCATGCGCACGAGGTCAGAGAGCATGAAGAAGGCATACTCGTAGCATTACATGTAGTCGGTATGACAGATTTCCTAACCTCCATAGTTGTCAACTTTAACGCTAAATATCTCGGTTCGCGAGGCAGCGCTTATTTCTGCCAGATTCTTTCGTTTCATGCAAAAACGCGTCGAATAAACCTAATTTCATCGATTTTTAAGCTCCTCGAATGATTCTGTATAATTACCTATTATATATCATGTTAATTTTAAAACTATGATTGTTAATAACTTTTTAACGAAGAGCGACAGCTAAAACCTGTATCCCCTGATCGAGACATTTACTATTTTAAAACTATGATTGTTAATAACTTTTTAACGAAGGACGAGCGACGGCTAAAACCGATATACATATTATTAATTAAAGATGCCAGTACAAAGTGAACATTCATAAATTGTATGTAACTTTCGGCCGATTTTCGAATCGCCTCCGCCTTCCGCTGTCCCCCTCACCTCACCTCACCGTGCGCAGATCAAATGTCGTTCGAGTAAGCGTCTCTAACCACGAAGTTCACTTCGAACGACTCGCGGACAACGTACAAACGGTTATGAAGGAGAGGCTTGGCAATCAGGATAATAGCCGGAAAAAAGGGGGAATGAAGGAAGTAAGCGTTGATTAAAGGATGATTGGAATACACGTTTTATTAAAAGCACAGAGAATAAGGACTAACTGATACGTACAAGGTTTCACGGTTCAAACTTCGAGCGTCGTGCGGTATTTGAACCGCGCGCGGTGTGGTGAGGGGGACAGCGGAAGGCGGAGGCGATTCGAAAATCGGCCCAAAGTTACATACAATTTATGAATATTCACTTTGTACTGGCACCTTTAATTAATAATATATCAGTTACTTTTCATGATAAAGTATTATTATTAGATAAAAAGGTTTAAATTTTTCATAACTTATTTATGTAATTTACATTGCCTCTGAAGAAGGCTAAAAAATGAGCCGTAACTTATAAGCACAATTATTGTAATAATTGAGTTTTGCTTAATATACATTAGCGTTTGCGTAAAATTATCCTAGTGCCCTTTTCTTTCCAAGTTTGTTTTTGAATTGTACAGGAGTTTTTGTTATCTAAGAGTTGTTATCTAAGTATCTAAGTTTTGTTATGTAAGAATTATATGTTTTAATTCAGATACTCACTTTTGATCACTTTTTCAGGGCGTCGTCCATATAAGTTCGATCTCCTTCGTCTCTATCCTCCGTGATCTATTGAATCACGGTTTCAAATCACGGAGTGTGTATAAGTCGACGAATATGTTTAGTTCGTTAAGACTGGCTACGATGCGCTCGCACAAGAACCGTGCTAGGCCAGGAAGTGTTGCCACATCCGCAAGTTCTGATTCAAGAACAGAAGAGACATTAACACAAACACAGTACCATCCTCACAATAACTTTCTTTTACTGGATGATGATGAAGTGAATATCTTTAGCGCATTGTCATCGTTTTCTAACGTCTCATCAAAAGTCGCGCAAGTGAAATTGGAGCGCGAAGATGGTAGTCTCGGTGTGACTCTTCGTGGAGGGATGTCGAAAGCATTGGTTGTAACGGGAGTAAAAGCGGATGGTCCAGCCGCCAAAGAGGGTAGAGTCAGACCCGGTGATCGATTGCTGGCGGTAGACGATACTGAGTTGAGGGGACTCACTTTAGCGGAGGCACAACAGGCACTTAGAAGGAGCTCGGACACACCGATCGCATCTCTCACAATCGAATATGACGTTGCAAATATGGAGGAGGCACGAACAATCACTTCAGGTCCGTTACTTGTTCAATTGGAACGAGATCTTTCAGGTATACTGCTTTTCCTTCAGATATAAATATTTCTCTTTATTTAACACAAACAAAGAAAGTCATATTCGATTAAAGCTTAGTGTCAGTAATATTTTTTGGTGAATATGAACAATTTCCAGTTCAAGAAGTTCTTTCAGCGTATATTAGTTATTACGTTATAAATTTCATCACGCATCTCAGTCAAATTGATAAAACGTTCATTGCGAACTAAAGAAGATCTAGATTCGAATCTCACCTGAGGTAATATTTTTTGTAATAAATTCTTTACATTGTTTTTCCAAAATGATCATTAGCATCGGTAATATTATTTTTCTTGTTAATTTAATTTTTTTATATACCTCAGCTTTGATTTAAGACTTTGATTTAATTTATGTTTCATAACCGATAAATAACGTCATTATATTGTACAAAAATAGACTTTTTTTGAAACCTGAGTATAAGTAAAATATTTGTCAATAATAAAATCTTTCTGTTTGCTGAAAATTAATCCGACAGCGAAATTGGCTTATCACATCAGGTTTCCAAAAAAAAATTGAGATTAAATATGCCAAAAGCATTTTTGGTAACATTTATTGTGAAACGGTTTAGGGCCACGTTAATTCCCAATAACGGCAGCGTTTGTAACGATCTAACAAGCCAACGAAACACGATAACTTGTTTTCTTACTGGATTAGATTCTTGCCACTGTATTAGCTGTGATGTTGACAATGCTAGCATTGTAGCTAATATAGTGACAATAAGAATCTAATCCAGCTAGCAATTCAGCCAGAAAATAAACATCGTATGCCGCCAGTTTTTTAATCTTTATTTTTATTATCAGTATTCACTTTATGTTTAATCCCTTTTACTTTATGTGTAATAATCTCTTTTGGTTATCAGTAAAGAACATCCAGGTGCAAATTTTTACAGAAAAATTTCCAACTTGTGGATATTCGAAAAAATTTGTCACGTTTAACATACTGATTTGGATAAATTGGTTTTTTGAAAAAAAAAACCAAACGTCAATGAAGTAAAAATTTAATATTATTAACCGCGATTAATTAGAAAATGTTACATTGAAAAACATATTCTACTTTAATTTCACTTTTAATTTTTAAAGATATAAAAACGCTTCATGCAAATTAGTTAATGCGAAATTATTTACACATAAATAAATTGAATATGAGGAAGTTTATTTACAGTCAGAATAAAATTATTAAATTAATATATTATATATATGGGGCATTCCATGCCAAGTGGGCCACCCAATTTTTGGGCTTTCTCGTTGCAGCGCTCTTTCCGCTTGTCGTTAGTGGGCATGAAAGGCAATTTTGAAAATAAAGTGCAGACGTATTCTTATAGAAAATTGAACGCTCTTTCACGTAAGAATTTTTTTTTTATCAGACCGGTTTACGATGATGTTTTTCAGTTTTAAACTTTTCAAAATGGCGGCGCGCCTAAAAGGCCGCTCTCAATTTTCTTTTAATATAGCTCAAAATGTAGCTCCAGGTCTCTACTTTGTTACTCTAAAAGGACTTAATGGCACATGCATTCGTTTAGGAGTAAGAGCTAGGAAAGTGAGGCAATGTCGCTCCGTCCCCCTGCCGCACTACTCATTTTCCTCACTTTCCTAGCTCTTACTCCCAAACGAATGCGTGTGCCATTAAGTCCTTTTAGAGTAACAAAGTAGAGACCTGGAGCTACATTTTGAGTTATATTAAAAGAAAATTGAGAGCGGCCTTTTAGGCGCGCCGTCATTTTGAAAAGTTTAAAACTGAAAAACATCATCGTAAACCGGTTTGATCAAAAAAAGAATATTCTTACGTGAAAGAGCGTTCAATTTTCTATAAGAATACGTCTGCACTTTATTTTTAAAATTGCCTTTCATGCCTACTAACGACAAGCGAAAAGACCGCTGCAAAGAGAAAGCCCAAAAATTGACGGTTCTACAGTTCGGTAACCAGTTAGCCTACAGGTATATTATTTGGCATAGAGTCTTTATTCATCAAACTGTTCAAGTTCACGCAATATGAACGAAATCCATGGAACTTCGCAAAATGGATGGCCCACTTGGCGTGGAATGCCCCATATATACATATATATAAGTGGTAAAACCTAATTTCTACCGTTTTTCGGAAAAATGTGTGCCCGTAAAGGCATCGATCGAAGGAAGAGATGGTAATCCGATGGTGCTACATCTGAAGAGTATGCTGGTTGCGGGAGGACTTCCCATTCAAGCTCTAGAAGTGTCTCGCTTTTTGCAACATGCGTTATCGTGCAAAAAAATGACTTTGCGTCGATTATTGGCTATGGATGATCTTTTCTTCATCAAAACGGCCATTGGAGTAACATTTAACCCTTTCGACTACTGCAAAAACGTTTTAGTTGGATTCTCATCGAGTAATTCTTGCAACTCGACGTCTGAGACGTTCTTTGTCTCTCACGTCAAAATCACTGTTTCGAAAAAGTTCAAACCAAACTGTACATGTTTTTTTCAATGCATTTTCATCACTATACACTTCAGATAATAAACGATGCGTTTCAGCTGCGATTTTCTTAAAGTCGAAGTAGTAAAGAAGTACATGTCGGAAAAATAGCTTGTCGTAGTTCATTTTCAATTGATTGGAAAATCTCTTTGGTATCGAGAAATCTTACTTATGAGGATTGAATCACCTTCAGCAATGTCTAACCTATCAAAAAACATGCGGCTCCACCGTTGAAATTTACCAGCGTTGGACCTGGCATCCTTTAATAGCGAGCGGCAAGAATTAAGTTTATTACCTAATACATATACAGTGGTGACAGGAATAATAGGTAGACTAACTTATTTGTTGTTCTTTTTCGACTTGTAAACATATGTGTTAATGCTAGGTTAGGTTACTTTTTCAGTTGAACATCGAAATATTTAAAAAACATATTTATATATATAAATTATATATATAAATATGTTTTTTAAATATTTCGATGTTCAACTGAAAAAGTAACCTAACCTAGCATTAACACATATGTTTACAAGTCGAAAAAGAACAACAAATAAGTTAGTCTACCTATTATTCCTGTCACCACTGTATATGTATTAGGTAATAAACTTAATTCTTGCCGCTCGCTATTAAAGGATGCCAGGTCCAACGCTGGTAAATTTCAACGGTGGAGCCGCATGTTTTTTGATAGGTTAGACATTGCTGAAGGTGATTCAATCCTCATAAGTAAGATTTCTCGATACCAAAGAGATTTTCCAATCAATTGAAAATGAACTACAACAAGCTATTTTTCCGACATGTACTTCTTTACTACTTCGACTTTAAGAAAATCGCAGCTGAAACGCATCGTTTATTATCTGAAGTGTATAGTGATGAAAATGCATTGAAAAAAACATGTACAGTTTGGTTTGAACTTTTTCGAAACAGTGATTTTGACGTGAGAGACAAAGAACGTCTCAGACGTCGAGTTGCAAGAATTACTCGATGAGAATCCAACTAAAACGTTTTTGCAGTAGTCGAAAGGGTTAAATGTTACTCCAATGGCCGTTTTGATGAAGAAAAGATCATCCATAGCCAATAATCGACGCAAAGTCATTTTTTTGCACGATAACGCATGTTGCAAAAAGCGAGACACTTCTAGAGCTTGAATGGGAAGTCCTCCCGCAACCAGCATACTCTTCAGATGTAGCACCATCGGATTACCATCTCTTCCTTCGATCGATGCCTTTACGGGCACACATTTTTCCGAAAAACGGTAGAAATTAGGTTTTACCACTTATATATATGTATATATGGGGCACAGGGAATGGAAAGTTACTTTTTAAAAATAACTAGTTACAGTTACTCGTTACCGAGTAAAAAATGTAACTAGTTACAGTTATAGTTATCGCTTTTTAAAAGTAACTCGTTACAGTTACCGTTACTTGAAAAATAACTTTTCGTTACTTTTCCGTTACTTTTTTAAAATCAATTAAAAAATGTACTTTTGCATTTTTTTTTAATATATAATACTGACAAATATATAGTTTTATTAAAAAAAAAGAAAACAATGTAGAATGGCTCAAATAATAAATTAAATAATAGTAAAATGAGAAGGGTTACGAGCCAAAAATGAAACAGTTTATTTCCGACAAGAACGACGATGACAATGTAATTAAATGTATAAATATATATTAGAACAATACATAGATAAAACAAGATAAAAACAAACGACGTTTCGACACTTATTGTCATCGTCTTTTAAACTGTTTCGCTTTTGGGTTCATAGCCCTACTCATTTTACTATTATTTAATTTATTTTTTAATTTTTTTTAAACACAATTTTGTAATTCTAAAACCTGTAAAATATGCAGCAAATTGAAATATTTGTATGTCCTAATGTATTACATAGAAGATAGAAGTGTAAAATAATTACTGAATCATAACGGCCGAATGTCTAAGGGCTTTCAAGTCTTATTGATAAGCGCTATAAATAGCATGTATCCAATCGAACCGTGTTCAATCGTGTGCAAAGTAACGACAAAAGTAACTGTAAATTTCGTTACCGTTACCCAAAAAATGTAACTCGTTACCGTTACAGTTACCAAAAAAAGAAAGTAACGCAGTTACCAGTAAAGTTGCCAAAAAAGTAACTTGTAACTGTAACTTCGTTACAAGTAACGAGTTACTTCCATTCCCTGTATATAAATAATCTCAGTTGACTTCTAGAATTAAGTAAGCCCTTGTAGAAAAGTACTACTGAGCGCAGTAGTGCTGTAGTGTAGTAGTACAGTAGTGTTGAGTAGTGCTGTAGTACAGTAATACCTCAAAATACTCCTAGTGCTCAGCAGTACTTTTCTACAAGTGAGTGCAGGGGTGCGTTCCGAATGAACGTCCGAACGACAACTTTTTGCCTAAAACTGTTTACCAAGATGTGACGTCATAACCGCGTTCTGTTTTACAATTTCCAAACGCCCAGACGACAACTTTTCATCGTGCTCGAGACTCCGACGAGAAACGTCTCGCATGCGCAGAACGACATAATAACCGCCAGGAAGCTTGCACGGATGTGCCCATGTTTTTGAGAG